TATGATTATTTTTTTTCCTTCAGCAGTAAGGACTGAATCCAAAAGAATTCTACCACTGAGCTACGTCTCCAGCTCTTTTTATTTTGAGACAAGGTCTTGCTAAGTTGCTCAGGCTGGTCTAGGACTTGTGAACCTCTTGCCTCTGCCTTCTGAGAGCTAGGAAGACAGGTGTGCATCACCACACCCAGTTCCTGATTCCTATTCGTTCGATGCTGTTCAGTCTGGCCCTGAGATTTGTGATGTCTGTAGCAATAGTAAAATGAAAACTCACTGTATGCATGAATGTGCAAATGTTATAAGCGTTAACTGATAAATGAAATGCGTCATCTTCTTACCTTAACAGATGTACCTTCGTAAAACAAAACTGAAAAACATGAGCAAAACTATAATTTTTAAAGGTATGACTACAAACTAGGAAATAGACAAGTGAAAATAGTTATTTTTGCTCCTGTTAATGTGTTCCAATGTTTAGAAAAGGAATAAAGCTCTAAATAATTTGCCATGTATTGTATATCTACTTTTTATATTTTAACAAAGTCTTGTACCTTTTTTTTATAATTGGGATTTTCATATCATTTGTGTTCTACCAGTAGTAAAAAAAAACTCAAATGATTCAAAAGAAAATGTAATTATCATACAACACATAAATATATTAAAGCCAAAAATAAAAATTAAGGGAGACATAATAAAAAGAAAGCAAAATTATTTTTCACATAGATTTTCCCATGGCCAGTCAATTGGAATTTATCACTGAGTGTTGCCATAGAGAACCGTGGGGGAATCTAGATTTGTTTCTTACACTTATTATTTGCTTGGATTCTCTCTATATTCTTTATCATGAATTACTTTGATCATCAGTAAACACTTTGGTGACAGTTTTTTTGCCCCAACAGCCTGCCATGTTGAATAGCCTGATACATAGTAAATACAAGATAATGTTTTACTATTACTACTAACATTCCCGTTAGTTTGTCTTTTATTATACTGTAGACTATTTTAAGCCTCCATCTGCTTTATGTCACACATGAGATGGTGTATAACATTGCTGCTGAAGAGTTTAGACCCTGTGGCCAGACCACTGGCTTCAAATCTCACCTCTGTCACAAACCTTCAAAGTGACCTTGGGTAAATTCCTAAACCTCCTGGTGCTTTGTTTTTTCTCAGTTATGAGAGAAGACCTACTTTCACTGGGCTTTTATAAAGAGAAAGTGAGTTGATACGGATTAGAAAAAGCTGACAAGCACTATATAAATGTGAGCTACTATTAACTATGAGCATTCGCTACATATTATATATATTTGACAAATCATACCTATCATGTTTACACTTGTTGTTGCCTTCTGTGTGTATCCTTTTATTGCTTTCACTTTTTAGTTAGTGATAATTTTAGAATTTTTGTATTGAGATTCTAGCATCAAAGCTATGGTCCAGGTCGCTGACAATGTTCATAGCCAGTATTTTTTGTGTTTTGTTCATGTGGCTACCTTTGCTGAAGTTTCACTTCCTGTTTCCTGCCTGCTCTACGTGCTTACCTTTTTTTCTTTGATCTCCTCCCCCTACAGAAGAGCGATGTCACCTTTCACTTTGCTACAGCTCCAGGGGACTATCATGTGCAGTCTTCTGTTTTCTGTAATAATGATTAGTAGTAACTTGGTTGCCAACAGTGGACACATTAACGTAGGGTACAAGTGATTTATTTTGTCACGTCTCCGCCAAGCCCGCAGGCATCTTAGCTTTGGGGACGTGTGGGTCTCTGTGTGTCTTAGGCTGTACGGTGGTCACCATGAGTTGGCCAGTTCCTTATCAGCCCAGTGAAGAGCAACACCATCCCCCGAGGCCGGTGGGAGAGAATTTGCAGGAAGACTTGCGGGCCCAGATTCCAGCCCTTATCCTCACCCTGAAGGGATCAGTCTCCTGCTATCTGGCTTGATGAATGGTTATTCTGCCTGGCCAAATCTGGACTGCAGACCTTTGGCACAAAAGAACAGGTGATTGCTTGATAATTGGACCAGAGCCCCATGGGATGCCAGAAGGTGAACTGTATGGTGCCAGTCCCAAATCTCGAAGGAAAACACTGAGAACACGCCTTCCCTTCTGTCCCCTCCCTGCCTTCCCCGCACAAGACTCAGTGGATGAGGTCCACTCGGGTTCTTTTCTATTCGGGGATCCTCTTTGGACGAAGCTGTCTCTGTCAAGGCCAGCTGGATTTTCTAGAGGAGACAGGGTTCAGTCCACGGCTGTAGGGAAGCCGTGCTGTCTCAACCACTCAACTGCTCAGCCTGCCACACCTCCCAGCAATCTCACCTTCTGAGCAGGGAAGAAGTCACAGGGGTTCACAGGGGAGCCACATAGGTGTCAGCCTTCCTGTCTCCTCTGGGGATACCCCTCACAAGCCCGCTCCCACGTCAGACCATGGGACATCACTCGGCAGGCACCCACCTGTCACTCGATGGAACATGAATGTGTATCAGCACATTCTTCCGCAATTCTGATCCCCAAAGCTGGAGCTAGGGTCTTTGACTAGGATTGTGATACCTTTAGAGAAATTCATGTCCTTCCTACACTCTATGGTCGTACTCCACGCTTTCTTGTATCTCATCCCAAGTGCACTACACTAAGCAGAGCATTCGATGTTGTCGGCTATGTAGCAAAGTACCCCCAAGTGCAGTGGTTTCATACTCATAGATCTGGGGTCAGGAAATGGAGTGGTCGAGAGCTCTGGGGAAGAGGCCTCAGACCTCCTGTAGACTGTCCACATCTTCATGACATGGCTGTGGGTTCTCCATGGCCATCCATCCAAGAACATATGCTGAAACTACACAGCCTTTGGCACCTGGTTTCAGAAGTCACAATCCACTATTTCTGCAGTATCCTATTGTGTGTGTGAGTCAGCACTCTTACATGTGGGAGAGGATGCTGGCCAGGGATAACCACGAGGGCCATCTTGGAGGGTTTAATATGAGGTGTGTTCAAAAACTATTGTGAATATTTTATTTTGTAAAATTTAGTACAACAAATGTTGTGAATTCCCCTCAAAATCCTTCATGGTCCTCAGAGTTTAATGACAAATGGCTTCAGGTAAAATGGCTAAGTGGCTTCCTCACTTAGTAAATAAATGACATTTCCCTTATTAGAGAATGGGCAGGTAAAATCACCCACACTCGGGGTAAACGAGATGTATATTGCGGAGATGACTGAGGCAAGTCCAGCACAAGGGAGCCTGCAGAGAAGAGAAGCAGGGCCCCGGCAGTGTCTGGGAGGACCTCAGTTTGCAACACAGTCATTGTCTTCCGCACAACAAAGAAGGAGGGTCTCCCGTGAGCCAGCCCTCCCTTGTCCACACGTCACACCAAACCAGGGGGCGCACTCAGGGTCAGGCTCCCAGCTTCTGGAGGCCACTGGCTGAGGGACAGTTCCCCTCTGCACACAGATCTGTATGTCTGGGCACTGAGGAAGGTCAAAGTGTGCCACTCCAAACATATTTCTCTGACATTTTTCGAGTTGGCTATTCTGAAGACACAGGAACTTTCCTTCCTCGGAAGAAATTCACATCTCCCACCATCAGTAAATAGTAGGTGCAGGCAGAGATCTCTCTGATGACCCTCTCCCTTCCTGGGAAAGATCTCTGCATGTGAAGAGGAGAGTAGCTGGGGGCTGTGACACCAGGCCCAGCTAGAGGCCACCCCAGGTGGCTGTCCCCAGGGAGGCTTCATCTGCATAACAAGGCAACACTGGCTCCATGCCTACCTCCTTCCCCAGCCTCTCTAGCCTGCACCTCTTCCCCCAGGAGTCCAAATCCTGTCCCTGTGTTGAGCTTTCTGCAAGGTGCAGCCATCTCTCCCCTCTGAGTCTCATAGTCTGTGCTTGTGCATGTTGATAATGTTGCTTTCATTCTTCTTTGTTACATGGTGTCCGTTCATTTTATGCGCCAAAAATGATCAAACCTTCAGAAGGAAAAGAGTAAACGTAACCCCGCCTCACAGTGCCCCACCCCATCTCTCTCCCAGCCAGATCAAGTTCCTTCTGACCTCCCACCCACCCGCCTGGTACATACCATCCTCAGGCAAGGCCGGTTGCAAAATCTGCCCTCGGCATCCTTCTGTCCCTCTTCGCACCCAGCTAACTCTCTTCCCCTAGGTGTCTCCTCTGTTTTCCTTCCTTGTAAATCTTGTTTTCAACTGGCTGTCATTTAGCCGTCAACAAATTTCTTGGAGGTATTACAGGACAGACTTGACTCATCTCCCTGGGAGCCATTACATTTTAATAGTGCTTACTTAAGGCAAAGACAGCTTCAGTACCCAAAGGAGCAAATCCTAAAGTTGAATTTTAAGCTCTGGAGGAAAGAGTATCTAGTGACCCAGTCTAAGGAGGTCAGAGAGAGATTTGGGAGTTACGAGGCCCTAATCTTTGCTCTTCCAACCACAGGCCATGGGGCCAACCTGCTTGGAGAGCAATGTCGGGGACGTCTTTGTCTCCTCCCCTCCCTCCATGTTTACGGCTGGTTTTACACTCAGCTCACACCCATCCTTCGCCACCTCTCTGCACAACTGCTCACATCTACTTGTGCCTCCTGTGGAAATTCCTCTCCTGCAAGCAGGGCTGGAGCAGTGGGAGACCACTTGCATGGTGGGTGTGGCTCCCTGGATTCCAGCCTCAGCGTCCCCAGAAAAAACTAGTCCCCAGCCTTTCCTGTCACTCAGACTGTACCTTCACACCCTTTGGCCTCCTGCCCCTGAATTTCACAATTGGATCCATTCTCTAGGTTTGAGGGAGACTTTCCCCAGAGTCTCCCAGGCTAAAGAGCTCATGGCTTGTGCCTGCTGGCCCCTGTCCCCTTCCCTGCACCCTATGTGGACACAGAAGACTCCAGTGGATGCACCCCACTGTACTGGGTCAGCTGGCAGGGACACACTGGTCTTGCAGGGGGCTGCTAGCAGCTTGGAGCATCTGATTTCCACTACAACTTTGTCACCCAATAGAAGGCTCAGAAATGTGCTCATTTTATTTTATTTTTTAGAGAATGACACACTTGCTGTGATTCTTAGTTCTGCACTTCTGGCTGAATCACCTTCCACTTCTCTGGGCCTCCATCTCCTTCCCTTGGCCGGTATGAAATGTTGGGCAATGGGGTGGGCGTCCCGGCCCAATCTCCCCGCCGCGATGAAGTAGTGTGCCCTCCACAGCATGATAAGCAGAGTGGGCTTGTTTCTAAGAGCACTGTTGACACACATCGGTGCAAATAAATTAACATTCCCCGCTAGGGTGACTCAGCCTGCCTGGAGCACGGGCTCGCATACCGAAAGGGCCTGGGAGAAATGCTTTCCAAGCTTGCAGGAGGAGGAGGGCCACTCCCCACCAGGGCTGCTGCGCCTGAGTGTGGGCAGCAGGTTCCCTGGACAGCTGTCTGGGCAGCAGCCACTGGGGCAAGGTTAGAGTCCCACCTGCCCTGCTCCTGGCCCGCAAGCCCCGGTGCAGCTGAGATGCAGGAGCCACCTGAAGCCCATGGGGAGTTGAAAGAGACAGAGCTTTCCGACCATGACAACACAGCAACAAGCACAAACTCGCTCCCATAGCTGCCAGTCCTGTCCAGCTCTGACGTCCCTAGCCAATGCCAGCATCCAGGCAATGGTAATAGTTACCTGGAAGGGACACATTCTCCTCAGAGCCCCGCAGCCCATGCCTGGAAGGCCTCCAGCAGGGATTTTAGTGCGTGCCTGTCATCCCTGCCCTCCGGGTGGCTAAAGCAGAACTGCAAGTTGGAGCCCAGCTTGAGCAGTTCAGCTAATTAGCAAGACACTGCCTCAAGTTGGCAACATAGCTCAGTGCAAAGGCCCTGGGTTCAGTTCTACCAAAAAAAAGAAAAGAAAAAAGAACCCTGATGCAGTCTGCAAGGCAGAGCTCTGCTCTCTGGTATACCCTCTCTGCTGGCTGAGCCTTCCCTGAGCTACGTCCCTGCTGAGCTTCCCCTACTGGGCCCTGTACCTGGCTCTGCCTCCGAGGAAGCTGGTCGAGCCTAGCTCCTCCCCAGAAACCACTTTAACAGCTGGGCAGCCGCTTGGCCATGCAGGGCTCTTAGGGGGGCTTTGGTGTCCCAGGGAGATTCCTCTGCGTCAATTTCTGTATAAAGGTCTGCTGGGTATCTACCAGTCACACTACTCACAGGCCACTGGGGAGAACACAAAGTAGCAGGCAGTGCAGGAGGGGAAAGCTTCAGGGATACGGGGAATGCGGAATGGAGTACGAGAACAGGCTCCAGCTGTTCTCCCCACAGTTGCTTGACCAGGGAGAAGTTGGTGCCACTCTGGGATCAACTGTTCACCCCTCAGTGTAATGGCAAGAAGGAGTAGATAAACCCCAATGTCCCTTTCTTTCCTAATACCCAAGGACTTCGCGATGCACAGGGGCACAGGTAGGAAGAGCGGTGCAGACAGAGTGGGCTCCAAACTCGGGTATTTGCTTCCTGTAGTATCCAAAGCAGAGAAGCCCCACACGCATTTTGGTGATATTTACTCTGCACAGAGGGGCTTCGGAGAGCTGGTTTTAAATAACATTGTCTAAGTACCTCCTTTTGGTAGGAAGCCAGCAGCAGGCGCAGCTCATTTCAGTCTGCAACCACTCCATATCCGCCCTTCTCGGCTATCTGTGTTTGAGAAATGATGTGAGTGGCTTCTGCAGAAGACAGAACCTGCCAGGCTGAGGGTGGGATGCTTTTGCAAAAGGAGAGGGCTCTTTGAACCATCCCAGTCACACTATTCAAGGAAGAGTGCACGGCGCGCTTGCTACTCCTCCTCTTTCAACTTATCAAAATGTGCTCACCTCCACTCTGTCATCTGCTCCTCCTAACATACTATTATTTCTTTTCGGAAAATGAAGGAGCTAAGGCGGGCTGCGAGTGTGCGACTTGATGGTGAAGTGACCGAGTTAATGTCACAAGCAGTCTGGAGCAGTGTCTCCGCTCCTAGCTGCCTGCATGCCTCCCTGGTCACTGCACTCTTCAAGATAGCCTCAGGGGGTTAAGTGTTTTCTAAGGACCGCCAGGCCTTTGGGAGGTGGATACCCGCTATACAGAAAAAAGCAGCCAATAGCACAGTAAGTTTGGTAAGTGCTGAACTAAGTAAACTTCTTCACAGTCACACCCGTTGGACCTTCGATGCTGCTGAATTGTTCTAAGGCACAGCAATGCCGATGGCATTTCCGGACATACTGGATTGCATAGTATTTACTTCTGGATCATATTTGTATCTTGGAAAGCATCTCAATAAATCAGACTCACTGGTGTCTATGACCCTCATTGTTTGGATGGCTGAATAATTTCTGGTACCAAGCAGTCATGGCCTATTCTTCTATTTCCACCAACAGAGACCTAGTAACTGGTTTCTGCATTTCAGTGGGTGCATGAATGCGTGCTGGCTACTCCACCTGGTGCAGTGTAATGAGTGTGATCTCCAGCCCTTTGGCTTTGAAAAGAGTGTCACAGAGAACTTACCGGTCACTCTTTTGTGAATGGCCTGAAAGCTTCGTGGGTAAGGGGGCCTTGTGATGTCCAACAACACAGGCATTCAAGGTGCAGCCGTTCTGACAGTCTATAATGTCTCAAGCTTCTTTTTTCCTACAAGCTCCACCACCCCTATAAAATAGATTGACAATGATGTATAATTACAACCATTTAATTGCCCATCTATAATAAAATTTAAAGGGCTATAATCATCATCTCCATGCAGACATGTCATAATTCTTACAATTAAACACTGAGCACCTGTATTGGAATTGGTCCATGTGTCTCTGTGGATCACTCTGCCCTGCGTGTCCCTAGGTCTTGAACTGTATTCAGTGGAGAGCCCCACTTGCTGACCACCCCATTTCCTGTCACCAGTGGCAGCAGCTCAGGTGCCCTGTAGAGACATCATTAAACCCTTGAAGGCTTGGCTCTCCCTCATTGGGGCCTTGTGTGGAACTCCAGGGCATGGGGCTGGGGATTTGCCTTCTCCCCAAAGGTAACAAGCTGGCAATGGGGGCAGAGTAGGGGTTAACATTCAGTGAGACATTTAGTCCGAAAGAGGCAGGAAGCAGAAAGAAGCCAGCAGGAAGCTCCACTCCCATGCTTCTGCGGCCACGGCTCTGAGGTGTCATGGCGCCTCATGCGCCTGCAGCGCCATTGTGAACTTTCGGCTGCCTCAGACGCTACCCCTTTGGCCTGCCTTGCTCCACTCTCTGTGGCTTGAAACCCTCTCCCCAGTGCAGCTTTAGCACTGAAAACACCACCTTGAACTCTGTTCTGGGGAAAACCTGGAAACAATTTTACGCACATCCAAAGATTTTTCCCTATTTTTTTTTTGTTGTTGTTTTTGTTTTTTTTTTTCCAGTACCGGGAATCACATTTCCCTATTTTTAAAGTAATCAGATGGTGGTTCACGCTTGCCACAGTTTATTCTGCTAACTCTTCACACACGATGTTTCCACTGCCCATCTGATGAGGGTGAAATGACAATAAGCTATTGCCTCAAGCCTGTTGCCGTTTGTTTACTCTTATCTGTCCTGTAGGAGATCTTCCCCAGCCTTCCCTGCAGATGACAGATGTAAGAGTTCGTTAAGAATATAATTACGCTCTGGATAAGAATGCTGCCAGATTTCATCACCGTTGAAGCATGATTAGTTCATGATCTTTCGCCCCATCTCAAGGGATAAAATGTATTCTGATAAACAGAGGAAATAGCATATATATCTATATTGTAGAGGCTATAGATTACACACAGGACTAAGGGGAAAGATAGATTAGTTTAATAATAACTTCCAATGCAACTGAAAAAAGTGACTAATTACCTATCCTTCCACAGAGGAATCATTCGAAAGCAAATTTTTATAAAATGTGGTTCTTTCTTGTGGCCAATATAATATACAGATGCCTATACCGAAGATGAGGCATCTTCAAGCCCTCACCCTCAGCTGTCCCTAGAGACATAGAGTAGTCCATGAAATGAACTTCCGCTGACAAGTAGAAGTCCTCTCTTTTCAGGGGGACTGTTAGAATCAGCTAGAATAGAAGAAGCTATGCAGCAGAAATAAGCCAGCCAGTCGCCTCAGTGACTCTCAAACACAAAGGTCTCCTGCAGGTCCATCAAAGACCTTTTCCAAGCCGTCTCCACTGTAGCAGCAACCGTCCCACTGACCACACCTGCTCACTTTGGCAGGTAAAAAGGGTGCACTACACAGTGACCCTTAAAGCTTCAACAGGCAAGCGACACAATTATTTCCATCCTCATTTGAGTGACCTAGTCAGTCAGAGAGTCAGATGGCCACAACTTGATTCAAGCAGGCTGGGGGAAATGGAGTTCTGCCAAAGGACACAAAGAAAGAGTATCAGGATACCTGCTTTCAGCTCTAATGACCGGGGCTCTATGCACTAACAAAGGGAGAAAATGCATCCGGGGCCAAGAGGATCAAGAGAACATTTTGTTCCAAGTGCAGCTTCCCCTCTTTGACCTCACTGTAGGTATCCAGGTGATCTCAGATACTTTAAAGTAGTGCTGCCACACAAAACACACACACACACACACACACACACACACACACACACACACACACACACCTCCCGGAACCACCTGATGTAAATGCTTGCTGAAAATCACCATTGAAGAAAGGGGAGAATTGAGTTCCTCTGCCCTGTGCCAACCAACTCAGATGGGGGAGAAGTAGGAACAGGCTAACCTAGTTCTAGGGTAGGATGGCTCTCAGAAAACATGCCCCTGACGGTCTGCCTCTGTGCCAAAGTCTGACTTCTGTCTCTGCAGGCTGAGCCCAGGTAGCAGAACGATCCCTGATGATTTGGCACGTGGAGTACATTAAGTCCAGATCCCTCAGTCTGCTCAGGAGACCTTTGCAAATGCCATCCCCAAATTTTCTGCAGACAGCATCCTGTGAACCAGGAAGCTGACTTGTTTTCTGTGATGTTTTCCTAGTGGGGAAAAAGCCATTTTCTAGAACATTCCTTTGAATGGTCCCTATAAATCAGAGTTGAAAGACATCATGGTCAGAAGCTTTTGAAAGAATTCCTGGTCTTTCTTCTCCTGGCTTTTAAAAGGCCACATCTTTAGAAGCCATCTTCTTTATCTGTCCAGGGTTAAGTAAAGTCTTATAGAGCAGTCACAGAAGAGGAATTTTCTTTCAAAGAAGAAAGAAAGAAAAGGACAAATCATAAAGAGATTTTAGGTATAAGAACCTAGAAGCTTTTATATGGGGTACATGTCTATAACTCTACAGAGATATCTTTGCTTCACCTTCCACCTCATTAAATGGGGAGAAGGAGAAAAACACATTTCCCACCTTCTGCTCAGAAGCCACTCCCCCACCATGCTGCCCGTGTGCTCTGGGTTAGTGCATTAGCATCACCACATCACCCAAAGGCCTCGCCTCTCTGCTCAGAACCTCTCTGTCTGCTTGGAAAGCAGGCAGCAGTTTAATGATGAGATGAGTTCCCCTTGGAGACTCCTCTCCCCTCTAGGAATTCTGTAAGTGCTTTATATAAAACAGTAATAGGATGGTTCAGCCAGACTCTCTGGCTCAGATATACTAACTGGCACTCCCTTTGGGAAGGAGGAGCAGGTAGCCGAGTGATAAGGCCATTAGGACTGACTGCACCAGGCAAGTTGGAGGTCCCAGAAGCCACTTTTCTTGCCCATTGTAAGCACAAGAGGAAGTCGGTGAAAGGTTGATCAGCACAGACTTCCCGGTGGGAGATAAAGCTGTCTAAGGGCAGACTCTGGATAATGATGGGCGAGGAGTGATTTAGTGCCGTGATTACTACTGAGCAGGGCTGGAAGCTCAGAGGAGCAGTGGGCAAGAACTCCCAAGCTGCCCCACACACGTGAGCTTCCTCCTCCTGGCCCCGGCAGGTGTCAAGGGACTCCTTCGATGCCTTGGCAACTGCTCCTGGAACTCCAGGATGCACCAGACAGAAGAGAACCCCATCTGTGGAGAATTTCCTTCCTTTCACCATATCCACCTAGCCTTTGTCCTATGAATTTATAGATTGGGGGTTTTCTTATAACACCAGGTTTCAGGGTACCTTGAGCTGCTGTCTGTGGGGGTTTCTTTAAAGGTTGAGAATGTCATTGGAATTTACTAATGACATAACAATAGAGTTACAGAGAGGTTAGGCATAACCATGGGTGGTGTCCTAATAGGATGAGGGATGGGAATGAGACTTGGAAGGGAAGTTACTGAGCAAAATCCAGAGCCAGCTGGACAGAGTTCTGATTTTCTTTTGCATTTGCTAACTCTTCTTTCTTCAATGCATGGTGTTGATGTATATCTCCCTACCAACTACACAAATGAAAAATTCCATTCAACCAGTGAGATCCCTTTATATGTCTATAAATTCTTTGATATTCTTCCTTTAAAGAGGATGGAGCCCAATTCCTCTACCATTGAATAGGGGCTGAATTTAGCAATTTGTCATTAACAAATAGAATGAAGTAAAAATGTGAATAAGTGACTTTAATGGTAGGTCGTTAACATCCCTCTGGCTTCCTGCTTATTCTCTTGGAGCACTCATTCTAGAGGAAGCCAGCTTCCATGCTGCGAAGACTCTTGGCAGTCTATGGTGGGATCCACTGTCAAGACACTGGGGTCTTCTGTTAATGGCCAAGTGTACGCCATCTTGGAATCAGTCCTCCTGCCCTAGGCAGCCATCTTTAGTCTGAAACTTTGGTGACATCCTGACCATAACCTCCCAAGGGATCCTGTGCTGGGCCACCCAGTTAAGGATTTTCAAATTCCTGACCCACAGACATTGGGAGATAGTATAGGTTTGCTGTTTTGAGGTGATTTGTTTTTCAATAATCCATTACTAAGACCAGTGGGAATAGAGTTGCTCTTGTACTGACTGGCCTAAAGTGAGTACTGACATCTGCACCAATGTCCCTCTAATTAGTTTATTAGCTAATTAGTTTATTAGCATTTGCTTTTATAAAGCATCTCAAAAAATCTGAAGAAAAAGGAAAGAAAAATGAACCATGAGCTTTCTGTTCTGCTCTTGGCCTGGGGAAAATAAATTTGTTATGTGAAAGCATTTCAGGATTTGTTCCCAGGTACCTTTGCTTGGGTCAATCAAAAAGACCTCAAGTTGACTCTGTGCTTATGGACTCATTTGCTCATCATTTCAAAGTAATTTAGAAGATACAGTTTTCTATCTTGGGCTTAGAAATACTTAGACTGGCAAAACTGGAACAGTGTGTAACCAGAGGAAGGGAGAAGAAAAGATCTATAGTTCATATTAGCTTAGTGTGAGGCATCAAAAAAATGGAAAATTTTGTTTTCTAGCAAGTGGAGAAAAGGTGTCCTCTTGCAGTTCAAGTTTTTATGACTTTTATTCCTAAGTTTTCAAACCCACCTTGATGTATTAGCCCTTTTCAGCATTCTATCTTGCAGACCTGCCAGAAGAACACAGTGCAATGAAACATCTGGTAAATTTTCCCAGCTCCTATTATGAAATATCTTCAATTTTCAATTCAATGAAAAGTAAACAAGTCATTGTCTTCCCCAGAAGTGATTCACTTTGCTGTCAGAACCTAAGGCAGTAGGCGACGGAGGTTCCAGAGTCCTTCCCCAGGCTGCTGGGCACCCGGGCCCTATATTTCACAGCCTGGATTAGCGGAAGGGGTCAGGTAACTTCTCCAGGCTTCATCCAAACAAACACATCTGCCTGCTCAATGAAGCGGTACTTATTTTTTCTTAATTTCCAAGCAGTGCACTGTGATGCTGCTAAAGTGTCACTTATGAATTGACCTTATATCAACAAACAGTAATTGCTTAATTTATGCAGGAAGGCCTAGTTTCATTTTTATTCCAACTTTAAAGCCCCAAAATTCTCTCTCTCTCCTCTCCTCCTCCCCCCCCCCTCTCTCTCCCACACACACACAGACACACACAAGCACACACCACAGGGAGGCTTTAAAAAGACAACATAGATGATGTGGCCACCTGCCACTGCTTCTAGTATCACATAATCAGCTTCAAAGGGAAGATCTTTCTGACAACAGTCTGTCCTGAACATAAAATGCCCATGTCTGAAGTCTGTGTATGCATCCAATAGGAAACAATACCCAATAACTAAGGAGAGGCTGCTTTCAGTATTCCCAGGGTTCTTTCTCAGTAAGGCACTTTACAGATCCATGAAGCTCTTAAGCAGATTCCCTTGACTGACAGGCAGGGAGGCCTGGGCTTAAGGACTTCTGGCAAACACATCCCAGCTTCAAGTGCCCAAGCATCTGCCAAGAGGCTCTGGATGCATCAGAACCGGAAGACTCTGTAACAACACATATGGAGAAACTGAGGTCGCACGTGGGGAAGAACTGTGGTAAGTGATGTCAGTGTGGTGCAGTTTGGTTGTAGGAAGCTGGAAAAAAATAAAGATAAACACTGCAAAGGTTAGAGCGGGTTGGCTTGGTCTGAAAGTCACCTCAGCAATGCCACTGCAGGGACTCAGAAACAACCCACGACAGGACCTGCGAGCTGACCGGGCCCAGCTTGGGTCCACTGGAACCATCCAAGGCTGTCTCAAAGTTCAGCCAGTAAAAGGAAGGTTGTCTTTCACCAAGATGAGCTCTGTGATGAAGCCGTTGGAATATTTCTCATATCAAGTATAGAGCTTGGCCCATAGTGCATATTGGAAGAAAGTTGGCTCAAGACAAAATGGAGTGACTTCCATCATTTTGGGCTACACATTCTATATGAACTGAGCACCTCTTGCTTTTTTTCTTTCTTTAGAAACTGAATGAAGGCATAAGGGGGTGCTGCTGCTACCCCTCCCTAAGTCTTTCTTGAAACAAATGAGCCTGCTGGACCCCCTCAAATTTCAGCATCTCTGCTAATATTGTCCATGCAGCCTGTCTGTCTTCCTCGGGTTTTGATTTCACCTTCATAAGTGCTAAGTCTATTAATGCTTCCCATGAGGGAAGCAGGCCAGGGGAGAGAGGAACACAGCCCACATGTTGGCCCTGTTTCTCCAGAAGCCAAATTATGCTATTTTTGTGAAAGCACCTCCCCTCCTTGCCTCACCATCTCTGGGAGCTGATGGTGGGTACCTCAGCAGGGGGCTGCTCATTTTGATGGGGATCTGATGGTGGGCTCTTAACTGAGCTGCCTGGCTGTCTGCTGTTCTTAGTGCTATTTACTTAAGGAAAAAGAGAAAAGGGAAGACACCATTACTGTATCCTCCAGTGCAGTGAGCTAGAAAATGCTGGTGAACAATTTCATTTTCAGCTCCAATTTCTTAATCCCTCACAGTGGAAGTAAGACAGTCAGCCAGTAAACCCAAAACTTTTTTTATAAATATCCCACAGCAGCATCAGGAAAGCAGGACAAAATGGTGGCAGAATGTCTAAAGGGGTCCCAGAGTATGCTGGCTGTACTGTTTTCTTCTAGAGGGATGGTTATCTTTTGAGTTACACCCATTTTAGATGCTTCTAGGCCTTGTTCATGCTTGGCCTGGCCTGCAGCCCCCAGGTCAGGCAGCCATGTGTGATCCCGGTCCTGGAACTCAGCCTCATCCGGGTCAGAAGACTCCCGGAAGAAGAGTTTCCCACGACCCCAAACCAAGGGCACTGGGGGCCACAGCCAAGCACAAATGGCCTTGGCATTTTCTTGCTTGACAAGAAAATAAAACGTTGGTAAAGCCTGTTCCAAAACTGCTCCAGGAGACCAGGGTTCCGCAAAGACTGGCCTGGAAGCATGGGAGGAGAAGAAGCTCAGCAGAATGGAGAACGCGGATCGCTGTACCAGCCCTTCTCGTAGCACCAGACAGGAGCCCAGCGGAGCACCTGCCTGCTGCGAGGACTTAGCGAAGATGTGCGGGGCTGGCCTGGGTGGCCGGAGTGCTGCCTCTTCGCTGTCTGAGTGCTCAGACCTCGCTGGCCCGGAGGAAGGAGCCCCAAGGACAGACGCAGACAGGGGCTCATCTAACGTTGCTTTCCATAATACAGCAATAGGAAAGGAGAACCTCAAAAATCTGAATGCAGTTGATATTTAATTGTTTGATCATTCTTAAATGTCTGTATTTGTTTATCTGAGTAATCAATATGAAGATAACAGTATGTAATACAGCAACCATTGTCAATTTCTTACCACCTTGTCTGAAATTCTGTATTGTTTATATTGTTTTTATGTTGGTTTGTTTATGTCTATGTGTTTGTTAATATGTTTTGGTTCTTTTATCTTTAAAAATGAAATTAAACAAATCTGAATGCAGAAAGAGCCTCTGCAGTGAGGCAAGAGGGACTGCAGCCAGCCAGCATGGCTGATGAGCTGTGTCCACCTCTCACCTCGCCCCTGTGCTAGGTTCAACTGGGTGCGGAGCTCCCACCAACACCCGGTCTAACTGTCACCACTATCAGGAAAACAAATTCAAAGTTCATCATAAGTGAAATAGAAAGAGAGCAAAGCTGGACCCAGGAGGGAAGGTCTGTAATCCCAGCAGTACTGGAGGCTGAGGCAGGAGAGTTGCAAATTCGAGTCATCTTGGGTAACTCCACAACTTAGTGAGTCCAGGACAGGCGAGCAGACCAAAGGCACCCAGTGTCAGAAAAGTGGAGTGTGTTGGCTCACCATCCTCCACGCTTCCTTGACTTGCCTGCCCTCTCCTCAGGTCTTCCTCCAGCTCTCCTTGACTGGTGGTGCAGGTTCTGATCATGGCCTGCCTGGTGGCAACACTGTTGGCAGCAGCTTCATGCCAGCTGTGAGTGTGAGAGGCGGTGGTTTATTAAGTTTATCCTTTCCATCAACATGAGTAAACAGACCCAGCTACATATTCTAAAGGCCAGAAGTAAGCTGAAACACAATGATGGGTGGGGAGCTTTAATGTAATACTGTGCTTCGTGTGTAACGCTATAAGCTTGAATTGTTTTCTGCTCTCTGCCTTTGGCGTGATGATCTGACCCTGTGATTTCATCAGATGTTGTGTATTTTCCATCATTTAGCTGGACAAAATGTCACTTCTTCACTGTCCTGAGATTTGATGAAATTACTGCACTTCAGTTTCGTTCTTTAAGTGACTTGTTTTGGGGAGCAATTTATTTTCATTCTTGTTACTGAGC